GCAAATGGTACAACAGAAGACCCGTCGGGGGGGGGGGGGGGGGGGGTTGCAAGACGCATTTGAGCACCGCTGGAGATAAATGATCCGCGGATTCCTATCTTCGGCACTAGAAGTATGAGAGTGGCCAGTCCCTCACACTCCGACCGTCTTTACCACTGCGTAAATATCTCAGTACCAAGTGGCTACGAAGCAATGGTGGCAGACCTGAGAGATGTCGGTTGGCAGCAATGATCACACATTTACAGTAATTGATCCTTGACGCCGCGGTAATGAAAAGCAGTGCGCAGCTATCGGATTACGTCACACTGCAATCCGAGTTCCCAAATTAAGCCACAGACTGGGACCAAATGTCAGTTCCCACAGGGTGAACCAAAAGCTCTTCAGTGACAAACCGACGCATCCCACTTTCGAACCTTCTAATTCCTTACCAACAAGCATCACGTGATGCAGTGTCATGAAACACGCAACGTTATGAAGGCATAAATCTAAAAGAAGAAGATGGACGTCGGCTTTTCTTCTCGACGCGTAGCCGTGGTGAACCACCGCACGTGGCAGGGAAGTAGACCGTGACGTCACTGCATACTTTATAAATAAAAAGGGTGAGACGATGCCCCGACCTCTCTCAGCACTGCAGACAACCAACAGCTTATCATCTTACAGGGCGCGAGGTGGCTTCAGGCCGTCAATTTTGCCCGCTATTTTGTATGGGTATGAAACAGACCCTCATCGAGGCCTCGGACGAAGCGACAGGGCGAAGTTCGCTTAAATGCTTTTGGGGTGGAAAACTCAAAAGAGGGCACGCAGAAACGAGAAACAACGCGATCGGGAAAGAAGCCATTTGGGAGATGGGAAGATAATATTAAAAAGGGTCTTGAAGAAATAGTGTGTTACAGGGGAGGGGGGAGATTCATGTGACTCACGACAATGCACAATGGCTCCTATGAACAAGGCAACGCGCCTTGGGCTCTGTGAGAGGCACGACATTTCCTGACTGTTGCCTTCTCAAGGAGGAAAATGCTTCACGTACTTTCGGATGTGAAAGAAATGGATTCAGCTGGCTGAGGACAGGGTGCAGAAGGTTTTATAGAGGCAGAGGATTCTTCCATCAGCTTAGCGAGTAGGCTACATAGCGTCTCACTGAATTACGTGACGAAAGTAAACTAACAACTGCCGGTCGCTTCTCTGTCGACCTACACCAAGATGGAATCCTTTAAAGATGCTGCATCAGATGCTACTTTGTTTTCCCCAGAACTTAGTCCGTCTTGAAGAGGAAAGTAAACTGTTAAGTGCGCGAGGTAAGTTCACACATTTACATTGTGTGTGGAGCTGATCCCCCATCCCGGAAATCACAATGCTTCATAATCGATTCTGAAAGAGACCCATAATCTGTCGTCGACTAAGTAAGATCTTGAACAAGACAACGAGAAACCGATCAAGTATGAAACTAATCGATTCCATGACACAGGACCGTTGTTGAAATGTTGACTAGCTGTTCAGATGGCCATTAAATGACATCTTTTTTCCGTGAAACCAAAAGGCTAGTGATCACAAAAGCAGGGAGTAAGTTGGGTCCACTTGTCGTCATCCGCGCAGTATCCCGGCCACTGCTAATACGTTTTTAGCCTGATTCGGCACTTAACATCTTGCACACACACACACACACTTGGACTGATAAACAACTCCCAGCGCCCAGAGGCTCAAAAGGGTTTCCTCGCGCCACTTAGTACCAGATCATGACATCTGACAATCAACAGCATAAAAACTCGCGTTTTTATGACCTAAGAAGGTTCGTCACGGCGCTCACAAAAGCCCGCCACTCGTCCCTATCGTCAGTCACATAAATCCAGCGCCCACATTCTGACATACAATTTCTTTAAGATTCGTTTTAATATTTCATTGTCGTCTCACAAAATTCTCTGCAATTAAACCTTGCCGATGGAAGTTCTTCAGCCATCTGCCGTTCTGCCCCGCGCGAAACATCTCGCCACCAATCATTTATTAACCATCCGAGCAATACGTTACTGTGTACGGAATAATTTAAAATATGTTCTACGAGCCACAGACGCACAAAATGGAACATCAGAGCGCGCCGCTGATAAGATTGCCGACATCTGCGGCGCGTATCAGAGAAAACATGCCTGGTACTCAAGTGACCGTTTGTGTGAGGTTTCCCCGCCAAAATTATCTCGCGCATTCATTTATCATTTCTGGCATCCGGGCTACACGTCCAACACAACTACGCCTAAATTCTACTACTCCAACACCATCTGGTGACCTACATAACCAACGACGTTCCTCGTCTCGTAATATTCTGCACCCCGCGTTAGTCCAAATATTTCCCTTATAAACAACGCTTATCCAGCAAGAGTGAACATTTCATAACCAGGAAAAACAGGTGGCAAGAAAGGAATCTGAACCGATCATTCGCGAGGTGCTGGGCCAGGAGCAGTGGCTGACTGTTTTCTATTGCCCGTCTAATGACCACCCACGCACAGGGCCACCCTGTGTTCAGCTCACACGTACTAATCCTTCGGAACCTCATAACAGCATCTCAGAACTTGATCAGACATCCTGGGGTCCGGAGTCACGAGCCACAGGTTGAACTCAAAGTGGGAAAAGCCGGAGTTTGGTCACGTGTGGTCGAATCACAGTGGACAAACAGATAAGACTTATCTCAGTGTCTCCTGAGATCAGATACGAAGGCTTCTGACCTAATTGGCATTCTGACAGGTGAAAGACACCGTCACGGAAAAGGACAAAACTTCAGAGCGAAGAAGTTGGTTACTTCGATGACCACGGAGCGAATGGATGCCTTCGGGCTCCGGCCCTACGTAGAGACAAGGTCAGAACCTGCCAACGGACGGCAGCCAAACAGCTGGCAGCACGGAAGCCTGGACCCCTTGAAGTCAAAATCGGTGTTTCTCATTCCCCACCCCCCGCGATGCAGCCCGCCGAGTCACGAACTACGTACACAATCAGCAATTAGCATTCTCTCCATTTATAAATTAATTAATAGATTTGCCAGGTTACGTTTTTGTGAACCATCAGCAGCACGTTTAAAAAATAAAGGCTGTTATGGAAAAAGAAAGACAGGCGAACAGAAACTTGCAAAATTATGAATCTGTAAACGCCGATGCGACGACAAAACTGGGCTCCCCACGAGACGTCACTCCTGCCGAAGTCGCTCTGACAGTGACATCGGCAGTGGACAGGTGGGCCGAACGTCCTTGAACAGAACAAACGCGAATGAAAACATAAAAGTAAACGAAACACAGTGTTTGGTGCAGCATCCTGCCACAGACGTGAGACTCGAACCAGCCACTAGACCTATCCCGAGCCACCTGAATCCAATCCACATTCAGTTTTGTTAGGAGATCCGTATTCCAAATGGCAACTGTTCACTATTTGGCCAATTCGTGCTACATTCCCGACCAATCGTATCCTACCTCATCATTTAATCATTGGAACAAAACCTCAGACAGCCGAACCCCACGGTTCAACACTTCCAATTCAAAATCTGCCACTGACCTCCAACCTGAGACAGTTCCAATGCAAACAACTTCTCATTCAAAATTATGTATCCACTTCTTAGCTCCTCCATATCCAAACCTAACAAACTATTTACAACGACAGAGTAAGTTAAATCTTAACGTACAATTTCGGATTTCAGGGATACGTCGCTTCGAGTTCTGAAGGTGTTTCGGCAAACAATGTAGTTTCCATCTTCAGGACGAATGACTGTGATGTGGGCGAAGGAAGCTTTAACAAGATCTGGCCCACAATCAACCTCCGGTTCGCCCAGCCACGTCACCGAACTCCGTCTTGTGAGAGAACCTCCCCCATTCCGCAGACATTCGTCCTGAAAATTACAACTGCAGTGATCGCCGAAAGCATCGTCATTTAATGTCGCTGTACCAGTTACACATGTCATGCCCACAATATATATATATATGTCCATCGACGTGCGGGATTACCGGGGGGGGGGGTTGTTACGTCATGCGGCTAGCCAACGTAAGGAACGGATCTGTTAGCACCGGTAAAAAAAACTACTAGAACCGGTGACGTCATCCTGACATTGTATCAGCTGTTTACATATAGAGTGCTTGTATATCTGTATTTTAAAAAAATCAAAGATTAAGAGATACGGGGAAGATTAATTCCACGCGGATGACGACGGGAGTATTAAAAATACTTTTACAACTGACAATTGATATGGTTCGAGCGAATACGTGAAGCGTCCAAGGCATTTGCTTCTGAAGCTTTCCTGGGACGATGTTGATAAACCTTTTTTTTAAACGAGGCTGTTCGAGTCATCATACACGGCACATTCCACAAACACTCGAGGGCGGACCACCCCGGACACGACAGCAAGACGGAAAACAGATGGTGGTGGACCAAAGAAGAGATGGAGTTATGCCAGACACAACTTCGTCCTAGCACAATCCAGTACATAAAAACTTTAAAAAAAATGAAATTAATTTAAATCCAATTCTTACGACTCTTCTTGTAACCTGAGCTGCAGCGTCTTGTGTTCGAATCCTGAGTGTGGCACTTATCTCCAACTGTCGTGACAACCAAAGCACGTAAGGGGCTTGTTAGACTCAACCTCAAGCAGTCTAATGGACATGACGGTTATGTTGGTACCACTGAACCGTCCTCGTACGCAATTTACAATTCAGACTAGCGGCAACAGAGGTTATGTTGCACCCTATAACAGCACAGAATCCCACGCAACTTTGTGCCTGGTGACAGTTTTAGTTTTAAAACAAAAGTAAATAGTTATGGTGGTTCCCCTGATGGCAGAGCAGCAGCAGCCCTGATCATAACAGTCAGCGAAAGATATGTTGGCAGCCTGTAATCGAGCTCGGAATACGAACCAGCAGGTCTACTAGCAAATGCCAGGTTTTTCAGTGCACGTAATGGTGGTTCCCCTGCATGCCAGAGCAGGTTATGCTGTACCTACAGATACATAAGAGTGAAGGTTATGTTGGCAGCCCTACCTGTCGTTCTTATCGAATGTGGGGAAGCTTTGCTCGCTCAACTCCTGTATCGTACTGTGGCTCTGTGGTTCCGCGGAAATGCCCTGCGCCCTCTTCTTCCGGGGTCGAAGTTGGTTGTTCTTGATGTGATATGGGAACACGCTCTGGAACTTGTCCAGATGGGACCTGAGCTCCAGGATCTCCTGTTCGCGAAGCCGGAGCTGGGCCTCCAGATCCCGTATCCTAAGGTCCTTGGTTTGAACCAGGGCCTGCAGCTCCTGCTGGTTGTCCCCTGCTGAATCCATGACGAGGGGCTCGCCAGGAGCCCCGTTCACTACAGGCAGTGAAGTCGCCATGTTGGAGTCTTCCTCGTCTTCAGCTAGCCGCTGCGACGAGAAACACAACGTCTCAAAACACACACGCATAGACGGCTGTTGGCAGCACTGGTCCATAAACAATTACTCAGCCACAAACACGACCGACCATCCTCAGCTCTCCGCGATCACATCCACGCCTTGTCTGCTTCAGGCCTTCTCTCGACAACGAAACAGAAATAGTGCGCATGCGCAACACCGACGCCGTGCTGCCATCCTTCGACCGGAACCTGGTACTACTTTCTCATTAAAAATCATGGCTCTCATGTACTAACCGTCTCGAAAACATGTTCCCACGCGTCCTTCAGTACATTTCTGTCTTGCTTATTTCTACCTGGATTTGAGATCTATGGGCCGTGAATCTGTCACACATCGCGTTTGCTAACGTAAACTGGTACGGTGTCAACACAGACAGAGCGCATTTAAGTCCACGTGACAGAAAAGCAACTCGTTAAGATGGATAGTAGGTGCAGCAGGTGGCCTTGGGCGCAGCAAAGTAATTCCAGTATAAAAATAAAATGATTATACTAATTTTAATGATATTCCAAGCCATTCTTAGAATCTGCCTGTTATTAGACAGGCAACCTTGACACGAACAGGGCTTTTGTTCGAAGGCTGCTGGCTTGCTTGCTGCCTTAACAACATTACGGACTGAGCAACAAGGCTGAATGTGTATGCAGCTAAAATACCAACTAAATGACTGACAAAATGAATAAGAAGGTGACTGTCAGGCAAGATAAGTCAGTGGTACAGCTCTCCCGTGAAAGGTTTTTCAGAACCCTGAGGTCCATCACCTTTAAGACGTAAGCACGCAATTGAACCGTGTTCAGACAAGCAACTCACTCCTTCCTCGTCTCGTCATGTTCCCTGCTTCAAAATGTTCTGATAACTTGTGATGATGTCGCCTCTTCCAAAATATTCAAATCACGTAAGTAAGAGAGGGCGAAGCCACTGCATTTCCTTAACTTCCTCCGTGCGAAGAGATTTCGTTTTTTGTAGAATTCCCATAAAGTTATAATTTTGTTTCACGGGAGCTATGACCTGCGCGCACCAAAATTAAAATCGTCTCCAAGCGTTAATTTGCAACCAAACATACGAAATTTAATCGAAATACATCAACTAGTTTCGGAGGTGAAATATTTTATATCCACTTTCTGCAAAGAGGGGACGCGAATAGAAAACAAGTCTCCATTCACGGTACAATGATTTAGGCAGTCTCATGATAAAAAGGCCTCCACGCCCTGAGCAAAACGCTGGGTGTCAGGCGAAGCAGTGGAAACCCACGTGGCAACACGTGGGCAAGTTTCCGACACTCGACCAGAGATAAGGGGTGGGACAGTGATAAGACTGATTTTAGGTATGTAAATTGTGAAAATAATTGTGGATTGGACTGAACCGGCTCAGGATATAACCTAATGCGGCCATCTTGTCAACCCGGTGATGATCATTAAGATTACATATGAATAAATGAAGTCTGCTACATGGTTGCCAATTTTAAAATTGCAGTCATGGGGGTTGGGCGTGAAAGCACAACTGCGCCTTCTTTTGTGCACACAGTGCGTCGTGTTTCGTACAAAATCCGACTAACAGTGAAGCACAAATGGAACGTTACAGCGTTTCTCAGAAGTGGTTCATCTCACAAAAACAGATGCACTTAGCACGAAACACTAAGAGCAACAGATTACAATTTTAACATGAACTTGTTGATATAAGGCTAACCCTGAAGTTGGAGGCACTACGTTCCTCCGAAACGTCGGTATCTGCCCACAAATCCACCCATCAACCCAGTCCAACATCGACACCTTCAGACAGCCATGAGAACTTAAAATCTGATTTTATATTGCTGTCCGATGTTGTATTTCACGGGATTTTCGACCGTGGCGCCGAGGACCGATCCGGTTTCACGCGTCTAGAGTTGAATCCCACCCTCACGACGCGACAAGTCCTGCTTACCACCAACGCACGGTTTACCAGTGTCTAGTTAGCTATTGTAACCTGTCCTTCGTCCTAGAACCCTGTCAAAATCCAAAGGATTCTTTCCGCCAGAATCCATCCCACATCTCACCAGGTCGCTGGACCCACTGAGTGGGAGCTGGAGAAGAAAATAAGGAAGAACTATGTTGATCAGTTATATTAAAGTTTCTCAGACAACAAGTTTTTGTCTCCGGCTTTGAAGGAATACAAACAGAAAAAGGAACAGTTGAAGTTAGAACTGCGTAACGGAATTTCGTGATTTCTGGCCTTCAGTTCTTCAACCAGTTTCTGCAGACTCACGAACAAACCACGTAGTCCTAACTAACTCTTGTAACTCCTCCCTGAGAAGCTACCAGTCGCTTAGTTAGCCTTTCCTTCAAGATGTCGCTTGCCGTGAAAGCCAGTGGAAGGAGAAGCCGTGTCCGCGTGTTTCCTCAGGCAACTGGACCTGAGACTCGACACGTGACACTTTCAATTCATGCCAGAATGGCGATCGGAATCTCTTCTGAGCGCCACTTTTCTGTGCGGTGACAAAATACCCCCTCTCTCCTCCCCTTTTCATTTGTAGACTCTAAAACGAGAACATGACGACCGTGAGAAGTCTGTTCTGTTAGTTTTCAGTTTGGTTTCGTATGGAAGAGGTCACGACAGTGCCTAAAACTCGTTTGTTGTGTTAACTGTTACAAATATGGCGACAGTGCGAAATCTTGAGGTTATGCCCGATAAGTATTGCGTCCTTGATGCACTCCTTCTGAAAATAAAGTGGTTGACATATTCTCATGACCCCCGATTGATTGCAGCGGTCGAGCACTGCGGAATGTGTATCATTGGCTGTGAATCGTGTCTCTGGGAGGAGTCAGCCCAGAGAAAGTGGAGTGGGCAAATCAGAGTTGCAGTTTCCTGCTCTTGCCAATGCATTTGCTGCAGGACTCGCAACCAGACAACTTTCAACACGGCAGACACTTCTTCGAGGTCCACTTCAATATTATCCTCCGACGCCTATGTACCAGCAGACTTTTCCTTCCCATGAGATTTTCCAGAGAAAACAATTTTGCCCAAGAAGAATTTGCTCCCCGCAAGATTATTTAGCGACTAATACAAAAAATGAAGCTCTTCACTCCTCTTAGGCCCTCAGCACCCTCCTCCCAAACACCCTCTTGCTGTGTCCTTATCTTAAGATAAAAGAATACGTTTTGTGCGCATAAGCTGCTACCATGTGGACACGCTGCAGTGTTTGTCTACGAAACACATTCAGTTCACACAGCGTCGTTAAACTAGTGACAACTGAAGAAAACTTCGGTAACCTTCGTGTTCTCGAAATCGAAGCGACAAGCAAATACCATGAGCAGTTGATGTGGGCTGAAGATGTTAACAGCCCCGAAGAGTGACGTCATAGCGGATTGAGGTGAAGGTCGTATCAGTTTTGTGGACAGATAGGTTATCCAGGTAAAGGCCACATGGGCGCAGGGCCGTCCAGCGTTTCCCGGAATGGCAGGGGAGGATCAGTTTGCCGGCCAACCTTCGCGGTCGCCTTGTAAGACCAGCACCTCGTAGCGGTGTGTGACCAGGGTTCGATCGCGCCTGAGGTACGAGACGAATGCAAAGTTGCAGGGCATCGGCCCTGAAGAGTTTTCGGAAGACGCCGCACAAGAGACAAAGACCAGACGAGAACCACTTTCATCCAAACGAGTATCTTCATTTCTACGATCTGATGTCTTTTTCCGTGGGGGCTCCACACAAAAAGTAGACAGCATTTATTGGTTCGTCCTATGATTCACATCTCAAGAGACTCTTTTGAGTTTGTGTTAACAAAAACAAGAGACGAAATTAATGTTACCATTTGTTATGTGGCAAGGAACGCAGTCTCTTACTGAGAAACATGAACAAAAAATTTGGACTTGAGACGTTCATTTCCTGACAGACACGCTGACATAAAACGGACATCTGGTGTCATATAAGGACAGAGGCAACAAAAATCCAGTTCAAAAATTCGACGTGACTGAAGGACAGCTTTAGATAGCTCTTAGGGATTTATGTAACTGCCTCAGCGGCGGTGTCGAGCCTTCAAGTTCTGCCGCCAGAGAGCGACACAGGCAACTTTTTGTTTCATGTTTCAAAAGTTTTCGTATTATCCGAAAATCCTTTATTACGCATGACTGTTCAATGTGGCGCTAGTGTCGATCCCACCTCACAAGTTTGTCGGCCAGCCATTTTGGTATTGACGGTTGTAAATTCCCCCAATGGCATAATGTCCATATCAAATTTCATCCAAATCCGTCAGGCGGTTATCGAGTTAAGTCATGCGGGCGGACAGGTTGACTGAGAGGGTTTGAGAACGGAAAATCTGAGTTCTTCGACGACTTTTCACGATCAGGGTCAAATGAGGGCGAAGTAACCAAGTACAGAACGTTTGTGGCGAACAGTGGCCACACGCAGATGGGAGTAAAGGCTCTGATTCCACTTCGAATGTTGAATTTCCGGGGTGCAAAACGTCCTCGGAGAGCCGAGTTCCGTGCAGGGTAATAGAGCGCTCGTTCACATGTACCGGAATAGTTACATTTATAATGAGAGTCTTATAACAGTCATCTATCACCGTGCGTATTAAGAGGTTGCCTAGCAACGAGACAGCGGCGGACACAACGCTTTAGAGCTATTAACCCGCTGCCTGAGTTACCTGACGGCTCTGTGCAGTGCGATTCTATCTCCGATGCAATGGGACCGGTTCCGAGGCTAAGGTAGTTTAATTATCACAGATCTGAATAATCCGTCGCTTCTGTCTTGTGAGGCAGACGTTCATTAGAGAGGCCTCAGAACCAATGGGTTGCCTCAGTCTCAGACCCACTGTAACCAAGCTCCATCACGTGGACCGGCCGCCTGTCATCGGGGACCGTGTGAGCGCCGTTCCTGATCTTATAGGACCAGAAGAACCACTGACTTACTGGCCTTCTGTTCATCCACACAAACCACTGCGTGGCTGGTTTCCGGTGTGTTGCAGATCACACACACAGGAAAACGAGAGCGAGATACAAATATTGAATTTCACGGCCACAAACAAACGAACTCCGTGCAGACACGGGCCCGCAGAGGACGCCGTGGGTTGTCTCTTAACTTAAACGCAACTAGAAATTTCCGAACGCCAGCTTCTCACGCGAACAACAGACGCGTGTGTGAAAATTAACCACTTTCAGCTTCTC